TGTTGTTAATGAAAAGTACATATAATTATATGACTATTTTATCCCCCTTCGAGTGAAAAACTTGACTACCTAAAAAAAATAAGTAACAAGTTCATTGTAAGCAATTAATAAGAACAATCACAATAATGTTGAAGGTAAGCATTGGAAACATACTATAGCTTTATAAAGCCTATCCTAACCTCTGTGGGCCTCTCCTCTTTAGACATTAATAGTGAGTATAATCTGCAAACATGATTTAGTACTTAATTACTACCTTCTCCCATTTTTCTTCCCCAGCTGCTTTATACTGTTCATTGTTCTACTTATAATAATCTGACTAGATTGTTTTCTCCTTCTGCTTTGAAACTTATGTTATGACCATTAGTATTCTTAACAGAGTATTTTAGAAAATATTTTTAGAAAACCAAAATATATACCGGATCAAAAAATGCTGAGCAACTATTAGACATCAAAATGTTGAATTTGGTAGCAGTAATGTTAATATTGCAAAATTCATTATTGTCTCCATCTTGCACAAACATCCTGTACAGGAAAAAAAGCTAGGGGTGAGGACTATTTGTTCATCATCTAGGTCTCTCCGAAAGCAGTTATATCAAACTGCTTAGTTCACAATTAGTTGTACCAAAATAAGTATGGGGCATATTTGTTATTCTCATATTTAAATTAAGGCCTGCTTTAGAAAAGTGATAAGAACTATATATATATTTATTTGAAAGCCACAGATTCTCCATTCTTTATCTATGGGGCCCCCCAAATGAACCTTAGAGCAGGACAAGGGGAATGAATATATTCACATAATTACTAGAATACTTTTTTAATCTGCACTCTTTCATATGAATTGACAGATAAGATTATTATAAGACATGACACATTAATAAATAACACCTAATTAGTTTGATAATTCTTTGATTAAGCCTTAATTTTCCTTGCTTTTCATGCAGCAATTCAAATTACTCTGTATTATTTGTTCCTTTTTCAGACTATTTTAGAACATGCTTTGAATAGTCTCAGTAGGTTACCTGAGGAGGAATTTATTTTTGTCTGACAGCAAGTCCATGCCATTAAGAGTGACAAGGCTAGACCAAAACGATGCTTTATTCAAAGTTCCCTCACAGCAAAGATACTCCTCTAAAATCCACCACTTCTTTCAAAAGGGTTAGGAGACAAATGTGAAGAATGAGAATGTAAGGAAAATAAAACAGGCCTTCATTTTGTTTCCTTTAATTGGACACAGAGAAGTGAAGTCATACAACTTGGTATTATAAGGACAGCGGTCTATTTACTAGCCCTCTCCCAAAATCTATGGTCCCTTTACCTGCTAGAGAGAGTACAGCAGCCTTAGAGGAATCAGAGCCACGCAAAGTTTCTCAGATCTATTTCTATGTACATACCAGCTATTTATAGTGACTAGAATGTTCCGTGGATTGATTGTGACAAATATGGAAATCTAGTACATTTATCTTGAACAGCTTCCACGGACTTCAGATAATCAGAGGCAACTCTCACAGGGTATGCTATGTCCAGGAACCATGCATGCCTGTAATTAAGTGTAGGATTTCTCCTCTTTCTTTCTACCACTTTTTTCTGACTCTTTATGCTGCCTGCAGTTTACAGATGCATGCAGCAAACCAGTCTTTGTTAATTCTGAGCCTCTGTCTCTAGAGATACTACCAATAACTCCTTTAAGAATCTTTACATAGGGCCTATTTGCAATGCTTAGAAACCTGTCATCTTTTTAAATAACAAGATTACTTCCAGGAATGAATAAAGAGGGCTGTCCTGGGATGATCATCAATAATTTTTTTCGTTGAGAAAAATATTATGCACCATGAATTCAATTCAATAAACATATCGTGGATCTGGCAAAGTATGAGACAGTAGGGATTTAAAAGCAAATGTTTCTTAAAGGTGTATACAAGGCAGAAAAGAAAGACTTGTTAGGGAGAGAATGCTAATGATAAACAATAATTAAATCAGAAAGGAATCAGGAGTGGTGGGTAGAAAATCACAATTTTGTTATTGGGCACAATCATCACCCCCACCAACACTATATGTGTAAATAGTGCTTCTTAAATGTTAATGGGTGTTCTTGGATTGGTCTAAATGTTAACCCTAAAAAATAATGCCTATTATTCTCTTTTATAGGAGAAATAGGCACCATGCCTATTTATTCAGTGCTGTATCTGTAGAATCTAGCATAGTTCCAAAAACTCATCTAAGATATGCTTAAACCAAACTCATTATAAGCATATAATGTAAGATTTTTCCTACAATCCCCTATATAATACTGTCAATTATGTATTATTGGCCACATTACATAGGTAGTAGATCCAAGGCTAGAAGACATCAGATGGCTACAATGGATAAAATTGGTGTTGTGTATTTGTTGATGTGGTTCTGCTTATAACAACTCATAGATATGTGCCCAGTTACTAAAGAAAAGCTGACACTCAGAGAGCCATGGACCCTTAAGTGTGCTTTGACCATCTGCTAATGTATTCTGTGACAGTCTTATCAGCCTCATTTGACAGAGGAGGAAATGGAAGGCCTAAAGAGATTGATTAATGTGACTAAGTCATATTTCAAGCATGTGGCAAGGCCTACAATTAAAGCCATGCAGTCCGGCTCTGGAGTCTACTTGCCTACCCACCTGCTTTCACTGCCTGAAATGTCCATGCATTGGTGGCTACCTCCAAAGAATCCAAATAAAACCATGGAAAACAACAGAAAGCAGCCAAAGAAGGAAAGCAAATTATTACTCCATTTTAGGTTATGAACATGTCAGTTCTAGCACTTTTCTCACTGCACTATGTTTTTAGTAAATAGTCACATATACTCACTCTTCTCATTTACATCTAAACCTCATTTAAGTTTCCACCTCATGTGTGAACTTAAATCGTCGAAATAGTTTATAACATTTTGAGTTACAACATTAATTTCTTAAGTCACTTGTACACAGTTCCCATCACCACCTATATGAACGATGACTTAGTAAATTTGTCCTTTCTTCCTTCAAAACCATGTTTTAGATTCATCAGTTTTAGCAATATTTCATAAACTTTATCCTATTTCTAATCCCTTTAGCAGATGCTGCTTGATCACACTCTCTGTAATGCTGATTTCATGTCATTGTTCTACTTCAAATTTTTCAGACTCTCTTCCATGCCAAGTTACATACAGCTTTGCTGATTGACCAAGTATAATGTCACCACAAACTTATCACTCCTTATTTCCCAATGTTTTCTAATCTTAATTTATCTTTTTGTCAGTCCAATATCCTCATTGTCATACAAACACATCAATTTCACATGCTCTGCCATGTCATGTCCATGTTCATTTTCTCTTTCATCCATACACGAACCAAGGCCTGTGTATTCCTTAGCACTTAGTCAAATACTCCCCATCTTTCAAATTCTAGGTGTCTTTTGTCTTCCCTGACATCAAGAATCACAGATGTCTCTCTGAAACATGTAACATGTGGTGTCAGTATTATGCAATCTCACTCCCAATTTTAATCTTTTACTCTCAATTATTTGTTCCATTTTCTGTTTCAAATAATTCTACTTGTTAAAGTTAGGGATCATCTTTTAGTATTCTTATATCCCCTACTGTGTTCATTCTGAGACTACAGTGCATGCAGTATTCATGTATTCAATATTTGTATGCTCACTTATTTCACTCACTCTCTTGGTAACCTCATTTCCACCATTGAGCTCTCACCAAAACTCCACACTTGATTATCTAACTGCTTACTTCAGAGTTTGCTGTGAAAATTAAATGAGTAAAATGTGTGAAAATAGTTGCTATGAACCTTGGTATTTAGCAGGTGCTTAAATGATGTTTCGATTGGAATCTTCATATATTCCCCTTTTGTAACTGAACACCATCATCTGCGGCCTTAAGAATAGGTAATGGATTTGAAATCTCCTACATTGCTAGCTCTTCTCACTCTCATGAGTTTTGACCAGTCTTTTCCTTTACTCCCTATTTAGAGCACTATTATTATTGTTTTTTCAAGCCAACAACCTCTGAATAATCTTTTACTTTCCTCTCTTTTGGTATTTGTGATGATAAAACCCATGGTTCTACCTCTGTGAACCTCCTTGGACATATCCTAACTGTGCAAGAAGGCCATCCCCTCAAAACCTTCTTACACAATTGTTTCCAGTTTTGTTTTTCTTTTTGGCTTCCTGAATGTCAACCACTGTGAACCAGTTGCATTTCCCCATCTATGCCTAAACAAGCAGGGAGCTTTGGGCTTTAGAATTAGTCAGGCTTGTGTTTGAATCCCCTGTCTGCACTGTGTTTGACCTGGACAAAACATTTAAATTCTCTACCTCCATTCTCTGTTCTATAAAACAAGGATGATAATACATTCCTCCCAAGGTTTTATATGGATTAAATAAGATTATTTTAAGAATCTAGCAGAGAATAAATACTCAACAGCAGATAGTTATAAAAGAACATTTCAAGTTCAGTCTTATGTCTTTATCCTTAAACTCATATAGACACAGTCCATGTGTCTTATGTCTTATCCTTAAACTCAGTCTTATGTCTTTATCCTTAAAGACATATAGACACAGTCCACCAATGTCTCAAGACCGCTTTCAACTTTTACTTCTTCCATAAGATCTTCTCTGATCTTCACATTAGAAGCATTATCATTTTTGCAGTAAATTTACATGGTAAAAGAGAAAGTGAAAAAGTGTGAGGAGAGGACATGTGCATACACTATCTTATTTCACCATCTAACAACCTTAAGAAATACATTTGATTTAAAAACTGAGACTCAGAAAAAGTTATTAAGCAAAGTATTTAAATCCTGGCTTGTGTGACCTTCAATTTATGTTCTGTCCATTGATTCTCAGTGTGCTAGCAGAGTCTATTGAAGTCAATCTGAGTTTTTGAAGTTTTATTTTGTTTTGTTTTGCTTTGTTTTGTTTTGAGCAATTGTAACTACTTGTAGAGACTGATTTATCTTGTCTTACTTTTCCTTACAGGTTGTCCAAGGAACAAAGGAAAAAAATACTTATTTTCTAAACAGAATAAAACTCATTATAACTTGTAATTTGCTACATGGCACCGTTGGGAAATTTAAAAAAATCCAGGACACATGATGGAATCTCTATGATCTTATTTTTCCTCTCTCTTGAACATTTCTATTTCATGAATTCAGGAATTACTTCATTATGACTCATCAATTATTCCCAACAATGCTAAAAATGAGTAAAATGATAAGAAAATAGAATAATGATGGAGTTGCCTGGAAGGATGATGCAATTGCAAAATAAACCTCCATTCTCACCATCATTCAGTTTTCTTATTTTTTGACTAAAATATTGCATCGTCATTCAAGAACGCATAAAAGAAGTCTGGAAACATTCTTATGATCTACTTCTAGTTTCATTGAGCACAGTTTAGAATTTAGAAGTTCTGTGTTTCGTCCATAACTGCAAAAAGAAGAAAATGGATGAAGGAAGATGTTTAGGTTATTAGATGAATCAGAACAAATGTAAAAAAGAGAGCTAAGTATGCCAAACTTAAATGATTAGGGTGAAATTGAAATTAATTGTTCAAATGAAATCTCAGACAATGGATTTTCAGATGACAATGAATTTTCTCAAACTCAAGAATCCATGAGGGAAAAATTCATTTCCAAGGACAAAAATGAAATAGGATATTCTCATGCAGTTAGTCCTTCAACCAGAAGGACTTTACCATGCAATATTTTGTGGCAAGAACCTAACCTATCTCATTTTGTTTTAAGGGTATATTATAATACTTTTTCATTTTTTATAAAGTCTGTGTGCCAAAATTTATAGTTTTTAAGTACACAAATGTTAAAGAAAGGTTAAGGCCAGTATCAGAATGAAATCAATTATGTATAAATAAAAAAAAAACCTCATTGGATTCATCATTCTAAATAATGTTTAAGAATCTAAAAATAAAAGTGTCTTGTAGTTATGGAATGGAGATGACATTGTCTTTTAACGAAATTACATGCCTCAAAGATTTGAAAAAGTTGACTATTGCATTTTGATAACGCAAATCTAAATGAACCAGAAGTGATACTATGCTAGAACCTATTAAAGATGTGTTTGAAATCTAGAATTAGTATCAATTAGATGTATATATTGCAGGTTTATTCATGATATTGATGGGCAGTTAGTTCCTTTCTGAAGATGTTTCCAATCTGGAGTATATACATCTTCAAAATCAGAAAATTGATGAAATAAACTTTTGGTTTTGCTTAGTTTAAGTTCTTATCACAATTTTCACCCCTTTACTCTTACTTCTGTAAACCATTTTTTAAATGATTTAAAATATTAAAAAACACTAAGAGGTCCAAATGGTAAGTAAAGATAACTATTGTTCCTAGTATACTGAGATTAGCATTTACATTTTCTAAACCTCTATTGCATACTTATCAATTTATCCTTAGTTAAAGTTATATATGCCATGTCTTATCTCTTTTCTGGACTAGCAGCTTGCAGAGGGGATTCAACAGATGTTTATTGCGTTAACATAAAAACTCCCAGAACTTTTGTTTTGTGAAAATAATGAGATGTTTGGAATTAAAGTGAGTATGTTTTCATGGAGCAGTATTTTTTGGAGGAAAGTAAAGTAAGGCTGAATCTTACCTAGTCTTCTACATTATAGCCAATTGAGCTCTGAAATACATTAGATTAAACCATTAAAAGCAGTGACTATAATGCAATTACATTTGACCTCTTCTCAGCAGGATCAAACCAAAAATGTACAACTGAAGTTCAAGAAAAGGATCTTAATAAAATGAGAGTACTCTTATTCCTTGAGGCTCTATTTCTAGCTGTGGACCTAAAAACCCATAGAATTGGAATACAGACTGCCAAAGAATACCTTATTATACTCAGAGAAGATTTTGATAGGTAGCTACCTTCAATTTTAAGAGAGTAAATGACACAGAAAGGGGAATAAATTACCTTAACATAAATTCTTGGTTCAAGTAAGTCAGGTAGTAGTTGGATTTTAATGGTGGGATAACTTCTAAGGGATAAACATTAACTTGTATTGAACTTTAATCATAATGGCTTTTTGATTATGATTTTTTTCATACAGAGATGAAAAGCTGAAAAAAAAGTGTTAAAATGATGAAGCAAAAGCCTACAAGGCCTAGTTCTTGTACTGGACATTTAAATTGATTTCCTTATCTACAATAAATATAAAGAGGTCTGTAAGCCATGTGATTTTTTTTTCCTTATTGAAATTTGTCTCTTGCTTAACTCAGTTGACTTCACCCAGGAGTACATGCAACCTATTTGGCCCAGATGAAAGTTGATGAAGAGCTAATGTGAAAATGCGTAGTAAGATCATGATGGTTATTTTATTATTTATTTTTTTTTCAATTTTATTTGCTCACAATTTTTGTTTTTAGTTTATTTATTTTTGAGAGAGCACACATGTGTATGTGCTCACATAGGCAGTGGGAGGGGCAGAGAGAGAGAATCCTAAACAGGGCTCTGGGTTTTCAGCACAGAGTCTGATGGGGGTCTTAAATTCACAAACCATGAGATCATGACCTGAGCTGAAATCAAAAGTCAGGAACTTAAGCAAGTCACCAGGTGCCCCATAATGGTTCTTTTAGAGTCTACCTAAATGAATGAAATTATCAGTATGGCTATCACTTAAGAAAAATGTGCTTAGCAGCAAAGTATTGAAAAGGAGATTGGAATTACTGGAAGGATGATAAAGATAAGCAAACCTAAAGTCATTTATCTTGATCATCACTACTATCAATTTCTAAAAGCAAAACCAAAACTCACACACATACACCACCACCACCACCACCACCACCATGAAGTGAATCTCAGTGTAGCTACTAATGTCTGCCTTGACCAGTTTTCACAGTTGTCTTAAAAGAAAATGACAGCTAGACTATTTTCACCCTAAAAAATGTGAATCATCAGCTTCAAGACAGCCTCCTTAGAACAGGATCCATTTCCCTCCCTCCCTTCCTCTCCCTTTCCTTTTCTCACCTCTCTTCCTTAAGACAGTTTAGGGATTACCCAAAACATGTTCTATGAATTGACCAAGTACACAATCAAGAGATCTAATGTCAGGGTTGTTAGATCATTTAAGAGCAGCAGAAAAAAAATATTTCTAGAGAAGGGGGCACTTCGGTATCCATAATATCCCTAAAATTATACATTATACATATACATCTACTCCGATTGCCCACAGGACCAGCCTTAGTAGCATATACTCATTTTCTAGGTTGAAATAGAATTTTCTTAATTTTCAATTGAATATAGAGTGAGTCAGTACCCGAGAATTTTAATTGTTATATACAACAAATGATGTGATCCTTACAGTTTATGCTGGCTTCTTAAGATAGTCCCCATAATTGAGGTAAGGATTTTTACTGACCATAAGATAGTGTATATTCACTACAGAGATTCAGAAAGAGCAATTCAGTTCTTTTTCAGGTATATCTTAGCTAAAAAAAATGCTAATGGTATCTTTGTCAGAAGTATTTTATTTAATGGGATAGAAAAGAAAAACTTGGGACATATGTCATGGTGTCAGTACATTTCATTAATGAGGTTTTTTCAAATCTCAGCCGTGATTTGGGCTACTTTTGAGGGTGTGGCAACATTGCACAAGGGAAATATTTTATCCCAAAAGGAAAAAATCAAATTATAGTTTAAAAAACTCATTACCAATAATTAATAATGAACTCTAGCTAAACAATAACAGGTGTTCTACTAATCCCAAACAGAAACAGATGGAAGCACAAATGTTTTATAAATACTGGATACATGCAGAGCAATAAGCTTGGCAGGAATTGTTTTATTCTCTAATTGTCAGTCAGAGTCAAAGTCTTATCACTTGCATTTTCTCTAAATTAATATGCCCAGATTAAATCTTGTTTCTCATTCCTCATTTTTCAAAACACACGCCATATTTAGTGCTTTCTAACTCCATCGTATGTATTGTCTCACCAACAAAAGAAATATCAGAAATTTTCCTTCTGTACACTTATGAACTTTTACATGACTTGTTACATGAAACAATAGCCATACCATACAGGTTTCCCTTCTCCAGATTCTTCTGTTTCACCCCTTGAAATGCTGAAAAACACTAATTCTCCAGAAATACTCATCTACATATTCTTTAATTTCTTATACATTATAGAAATAAATCTTCAAAATCATGAATGTAGGTAGATGAAATAAACTAGGAAAGCAGTTAGAAAGGTAATAAATAATATTAAGAAATCTAATCTGGGCATCAGGCTCAGTCCGTTGAATGTCTGACTCCTGATATCTGCTCAGGTCATGATATCACAGTTTGTGAGTTTCATCCCTACATTGGGCTCTGTACTGACATCATGGGGCCTGCTGGGGATTCTCTCCTTCTCTCTGCCCCTCTCTCTCTCTCTCTCTTTCTCAAAATAAATACATAAACTTTAATAAAAATCTAATCGTATAGCACTTGGGAATTATTTTCATGGGTTAGGATACTAGATAGTGCTACAGATCTGAACTCATGGCTATTTAGAAAATGTTCACATATGACTTTAAAAGACCTCCCCCTGTATGGTTAATAGAGGAATTCCCAACTCATGTAGACATGGTTTCACTGTTCCTTCTGATCTTTTTTTTTTTTTTCAACGTTTATTTATTTTTGGGACAGAGAGAGACAGAGCATGAACGGGGGAGGGGCATAGAGAGAGGGAGACACAGAATCGGAAACAGGCTCCAGGCTCTGAGCCATCAGCCCAGAGCCCGACGCGGGCCTCGAACTCAAGGACCGCGAGATCGTGACCTGGCTGAAGTCGGACGCTTAACCGACTGCGCCACCCAGGCGCCCCTGTTCCTTCTGATCTTGATCTGCTGTTAAATTTTGGAAAAGATCTGATTAGCTTTGTGACTGTTAAACGCTTAGCATCTCTCATTGACTTTGACAGTGTATGGTTCTCTCTGTCCTGTGATTTTCTTAGAAATTGTATTTTATGACCAATTAGTTCTATCAATAACTTGGGTGACACAAAGAACACATTATTTTCCTCAAATAATAAAATTTAAAAACACATGCTCATTAACAATATTGATTCATGTTGCATATAAGTAAACAGTTGATCTTTACAAAGCAAAATATGCGTAGAATGTAACTTTCTTAAACCATCACAGATAAATAAAATGGGCAACAAATCTCTTACCTAAAATGGACTTAATGGTGTGTATAGACTGAGCATTGTCAATGTTAAGTTTCTTTCAGACAGGCTGTGCTAAATTGAATGATTTAAGAAATAAAGTTATAATAGTATTTTGTGCCTCTCCTTAGATGCTTTGTCAGCAAATTTGCAAGGCTTTTAAAAATGTTTTCAATGTTTATTTTTGAGAGAGAGAGACAGACAGACTGAGAGCAGGGGAGGAGCAGAGAGAGGGGGAGACACAAAATTGGAAACAGGTTCCAGGTCCTGAGCTGTCAGCACAGAGCCTGATGTGGAGCTTGAACTCACAAACCATGAGATCATGACCTGAACCAAAGTCCGATGCTTAACCAACTGAGCAACCGAGGTGCCTCTAATTTTGCAAAGTTTTTACTGTGACCCCTATTTTATTTTATTTTATTTTATTTTATTTTATTTTGACTTATTTTTATATATTATTTTTTTAAATATAATTTATTGTCAAGTTGGCTAACATACAGTGCATACATGTGCTCTTGGTTTTGCGGGTAGATTCCAGTGATTCACCTACATATAACACCCAGTGCTCATCCCAACAAATGCCCTCCTCAATGCCCATCACCCTCTCTCCCCTCTCCACATCCCCCCATCAACCCTCAGTTTGTTCTTTGTATTTAAGAGTCTCTTATGGTTTGCCTCCCTCCCTCTCTGTTTGTAACTATTTTTCCCCTTCCCTTCATCCATTGTCTTCTGTTAAGTTTCTCAAGTTCCACATATGAGTGAAAACATATGATATCTGTCTTTCTCTGACTGACTTATTTCACTTAGCATAATACTCTCCAGTTCCATCCATGTTGCTGCAAATGGCAGGATTTCCTTCTTTCTCATTGCCAAGTAGTATTCCATTGCATATATAAACCACATCTTCTTTATCCATTCATCAGTTGATGAACATTTAGGTTTTTCCATAATTTGGCTGTTTTTGAAAGCACTGCTATAAACATTGGGGTACATGTGCCCCAAGAATCAGCACTCCTGTATCCTTTGGATAAATTTCTAGTAGTGCTATTGCTGACTGTGACCCCAATTTTAAATGTAAAGACACTGAAGATCAAGTGGAGTTTAATGATTTGCTCAAGGTCCAAGGCTAGAAAAGGATGGGGTCAAGAATCACATCTGTATTTATGTCCTAAGCCCTCTTTTTTTACTATACTAAACTACTTTCCTGATGTTTCTTTCTAAGGTTATTATGATGCTATATACATATGTTAGCATTAATCATTTTTACAAAGTGAGTCATCATCCAAGTGAATCACCATATTTTTCAGTGTTTTCCCCCTTATTTCAGTTTCTAACTCAGTAAGGAAGTAAACAAAAAAGAGAAAGAAGATTAAGAAAATGAAGAAGAGAAGGGAGGAAATTGGCTTGCATAAGTTATTAGAATTAACTAAATTTTCCTGAAACTCAAAGTTCTCGTGATCTTCTAATTTTCTAGGACCTAGATGTATTATATATTTGTCTTAAATATGATATGCCCATTTGCCGATATACGTATGGATGTAATTATACATTTTAGAGAGATTTCCATATAAAATAGCTTAGAACCAAAATATAGTTTGCTTTAAGCAATTAGCTTCAATTATTCTATTGTAAATTAATTCTATCCTTGGCAATACCATCTTCTTAGAATTGTTTCCCCAAACATAACATAGTATTATCAGTCTTTAAATCTGCAAAAGGCCTAGCACAAGCAATCAAGTTATTCATTGTTAATTAAGATATTAGTAAAGAATCCCTTGTTACACTCTGGGCAACAATTAAAGATAGGAGAGATAATAGACAAATTCCTTTCAATAAAAAGACTTCCCATTGTGTTGACTATTAGCTCTGAGGTTGACTAGCTCCATCAATAGTAGTTCTCCAGAGTAGCTAACCCTTCCATATGTGAGAAAATACAAAATGTTGAAGTAAATGAAATATCTGAATTGTGACAGATTTAATATAATTTTTTTTCAATATTAAAAAAAGGATACTTTTATCATCATAGGTCTTCTAAGTTTACCAGAAATAAAATGTTTCACCTCTTCACTCCAAGATATTATTAAAGATATTAGCACTTTTTTGTATATAAAGATATTAGAATTTTTTTTTTAGCTTCTAACTGACTTCATTTACAATAGGCCATGCAGTAATAGAAAGTAAAATTAAAGGCCCTAATGCCAGTTATTACTTCTGCTTTTCATTGGTTTTATTCTAGAACTACACATGCATTATGCAATTTTTTAAAATGGAAATTCAGTTTAGTGCATAAAAAAGCCAGCAATCTTAGAAACAAAGACTATTAAAACAGACAAGTACAAAAATTGTTTGGAATACCTGGTTTTAAATCCCCACGGACAAACATGTCAATCATATATCGACAGAATGCATACTGATCTGACAGAGTAGAAAGAAAAAGAACGGAAGAATGTCATCAACACCTTTCTTCTTTCTAGGAAGAAATGGTTTAACAAAACAAACAAAATAGCACAATTCTATTTTAGTTACTACAATGTCTTCTGTGAAGGAATAGTTTGCACTCATATGAACACACAGGGGAAAAAAGACATAATAAATATAAGTCCATTTATTCCATACAAAAAAAATAGCTTTAAAAAATTGAAACAGAATAGTTCAGGGTAATATCATATAGTTGTCTTTTTTAAGTCAAAACATTTTTCATCAAATTCATTACAAAAGTCATCATATTAAAGCAATTTTTCTCATTGTTCATGTATATACTTCCATTAATGAAACAAGTTTTACAAGAGGAAATTATTTCCAACTTGGAACATTTTACCAATTATTCATTCTCAGCCCTTCTGCTAATTGTCTAAATGGAGCTGTAGAATGTTTTCCAGAAAAGGCAAGCAGGAAGGCTAACTCCTTTGCATTGTGTTAGAGGTTCTGCATGGAAATACTCTTAATTATAAGAGTACATGCAGAAGAACAGACTTTCAGCATTAAATGATACCATTGTTAACCTAATTAATCAGTAATCTTCACTGAAGATATCTTATAATCCTGACTAGTCTATGGTCTATGGTCTAAAAACAAAAACAAAACAAAAACAGAGAATTTGAGCATTTGGGGCAAACAATCAAAAATGATTTCAGGAATTTTTTTTTTCTGTTCCCTCTAAATTAAAGACATTACAATGAACTTTAAATTCCCACATAACTTTAGATTCTGCTGAGGTCATTCCAACCCAAATTTTAGTTGGTGAATTATTCCAGAAGTTTTACCATATCTTCTTTAAAACTACATATTGTGAAATTAACCTTGTTGAAGATGATTGATTTACATTTTAATGTTTCTAAACAGGCATTTTATTGATCTAACAAATCCAAAGGCAGCTTCAGGACCAAGAGAGTTTATTCAATTTACACAACATGACACACCCTTAAGTCCTTGAAATTATGTACATTAAACATGTGAAATAATAAAACTTGTTACTTTATAATAAATATACATATAGTGATTTTTGTAAACCTTATTCCTTTAAAAGTATTAACAGTATTTTTAGGCTAATCCATTTTATTATGAAACTCTGCCGGGTCTTTGAAAAAAGAAATGTGGTTATTGAAGTAAATGTAAAATATAATCCTTTTCATTAGTACCTAAATATGAGTAAGCCAAAACTCATAAAGTTTCAAAAATTTGCCTGTATGTTGACTCTTGAATTACAGCACATTTCCCATAGGTAAGGTAGATGTGGGAAGGAGGCTAGTTCCCAGGTCAAGTCCAGGAACCTGTTTGTTCCTGTATACATTAATAACAGGACATGGGAATCCTATGGTACAGCAGAGAATTAAGATTCATGTAGAAAGTATTTTCTCTTTTCTGGACATAACTATTTTCCTGAGCAAATTCTAGAATGGGCAATTGGGCTCTCAGATATAGCAAAACGAAAAAACACACACTTCCCTTAAATGATAAATTTGAGGTGGGGAAGGGTGGACTTCCTGAAATTTTCAAGCTTTCTCTTTTGTTTCAGTACCTTAAGTGACTATATTCTTTTTAGATTTCTCCTTCCTATAATCAGAAGTTGTTCTCAAAGGGCAATTTAAAGATCAAAAAGATGGGGAATGTGTTATAATTCCATGGGTCTAAACCCTAGAATATGCATTTTTAACAAACTCCTCAGAAGATTTAATTAGATCATTTTCCAGAATCACTGATATAAAATCTCCCCATTTTTTATTTTTCATTTACATTGAATCCTACTGGCACTATAGTCTTCAGCAACAGCAACAGAGAGTATATTCATGTGAAAAGTTTAGAATGCAGGGACTACTTAAAATTTGAAGGGCTTGGACAATCCCCCAAAATGAAATGATGCTCTCTGCCGCAAGTGGTGATGGCATATTTATACACATAACATATGTATAAATATGTGAAATATGTGAAATAGTATATTGAATTAACTAAAATCTTCATGCTTCAGAGTTTGTTTTTTGTTTTAACTGAATGCTGACAGTGACATGAAACTATTTAACCTATATTTTAAATTATTACCAAAGTAAAATGCTTACATGTATTATACCAGTATTTTCTGGCTCTAAGAGTCGTCTTTCATTTAATTAATGCACCAATCATCCTATGTGTTTCCAATTTAAGAAAGAAAATCCTTTACTAATTCAAAACATGTCTATTTTCTTAATCTAGAAAATTGTTTGAGTTATAATACTTAACAGGTTTCTGTTTAACTTGAGTGATGTTGTGATGTTGCAGTCTAATGGCACAAGTAGGAAGATGAGAGGGTATTTTTACAATATTTTAAATCAAGAATTTTTAAATATTTTAAATTAGGATGCCCATTTCTGTCTGTCCTGAGTGTTGACCTTAACAATGTGCCAGAATTCTAGGCACGTATATGTTGGGCAGTCTCAAGGGTGTCTGTTTCACCTAAGGATAAAGCAAAACTAAGCCTTCCTAATATGGAAGCTTCATTTTATAGACATGCTTCCTTAAATGCAACTGAAATATTAGACTAGGAAAATTTTCCTAAAGAAAATATGAACAGTTCTATTATTATAGCTTTCACAGTTTTGTGATAATAATTCATGGAATTTCATATGTGCTCACCATTTCTTAATATTTTTTTTCTCCCAGATGAACACCTTCTAAGAATCACACATGCTGGCCATTTCTCCCCTCCTCAAGGAGCAGTGATGGATGTTATTCAGCTGCTACCTTGTCATGTTGCCCGTGGAGTGGCAGCAGAGAGAAAATGCATTCTGGGTGCAGAATGTCAACAGAAAGGAAATTTTAAAAAATCTCTTATGAGCATGGGGCATGTGTGGTCTGGTACTCTATGGTTGATTCCCATTAGCTATACTCTCTCTGCCTGCCACAAATATGTAGATAGTTGTTAAAAAGAAGAAAATGAAGGAGGAGGATGAAAAGGATAATGAAAAGGAAGAATGAGAATAGCAGTCAGGAGGTTTGATTTTTTTTTTTTCCCTCTCCACACTTCTGCCACAGACAGAAAAGCGAAGACTGATCATGCCAGCCCTTCTTACCCTTTTTAAACAGATTAAGATTGGTCCATAGAAACTAGATTATGTGGTACATAAGGGTGTGTAGAAGTGTATGGTAGGCTGGTACATACCTATGCATCTTATTCCCAGTGCTTTAAGTGGAAATATATAAAATTAAAAGTAACTTCATGTGAATGTATTTGCATGTTTACTATATAATTTAAAAACTGCCAATAAATGTGTCTGCTCCATGTAAAAATCTGTTTCCAGTGAAAGACTTGTAGGCCTTTGATTTACAAAAAACAAAAACAAAAACAAAAAAACAACAAACTATTTAGAAATCTATTTGAAAAGAACTCGAATTCATTAAGACTAACTTACACTAAGCAAATAAATAATCCCTTCCCCACAGAAGGGATCCCCACTAAATCATCAATACAAGAGTCTCAAAATGAAAGCCACCTCACAAATAGATTATTTAAAAAACACTGCATCTTTGTGTATCATGTTCAGTTGAAACCATAATGTGTTAAGTTTTTTATGAATAAATGTTCTTAAATCTTTGCTTAATTAAAACAAATAATGTCTTTATGTGTCTGGCCAGCTATCAGAAGTATAGTTTTGATTATTTACTTAATGATACAATTATTTAATTGATGCTAGCTGTCTTAATGGGGAATCTTACTTTAGCAAATGCATTTACTTAGCTGATAAAATCACATTTGTGCTTTTGTTTCTGACTCTAAGTGATATTCGAATGTCCTTTTAATAGATAAATAGCTCTTTACGTGGAAATGAAAACAGTAGATTGAAAATGAAAATGGTATTAGAATGTTATCTTTAGTAATTCTGATTACTGATAAGAATAAAATACAATATATGTGACCTGGAAAATAAACCTTATTTTAAAATGCTCTAGTGATGTGTCTAGAGCATCAATAAAATGTGCCACCCCCCCCCCCAAGAAAAACCAAGGATACTAAAAATGGACATCAAAAAGTTTATTCATGTTCCAAGTTGCTAGATAAATATTTTAATACTCCTATATATAACTGGCATGAATTTTTACATACTGTGTTTATGGACAAAAATAAAAATATACTTGGTATGTTTCAGCTGATTTCATGTGATTATTTTCATTTTTTTTTTTTAATTTTTTTTTTTAAATTTTTTTTTTCAACGTTTTTATTTTATTTTTGGGACAGAGAGAGACAGAGCATGAACGGGGGAGGGGCAGAGAGAGAGGGAGACACAGAATCGGAAACAGGCTCCAGGCTCTGAGCCATCAGCCCAGAGCCCGACGCGGGGGCTCGAACTCACGGACCGCGAGATCGTGACCTGGCTGAAGTCGGACGCTTAACCGACTGCGCCACCCAGGCGCCCCGATTATTTTCATTTTTAAGGGGCAATCTAAAATGTAAAGTATTTTAGGACCTTGATGATCACTTTAAAATAGATCGGTGAGTCAGAAGATTAATTTTCTTATTTTCTATCACAGCAAAATGTTGCATTCAAAATATTTTATCTTTACTTACTATAATTTTTTTCTGCCCCAAAGATTTCAGAAAAAATATAAAGTTTTAAGAGAGGTAATAACCAATTTTTTAAAATTTTTTCAAGACAATATAATCATTTTTTAAATTGAAGAAAGATCTTAGTGATCCAAAGTTTTAATCCCACTCTTTTTGTTAGTGATCTACAAAATTTTAAATTTAGGTAATTTTCATTTATTTCAAAATTTGCAGATCACACACACAAAAACAGAGACAGAGGTTTTTTCTTCTTTCTTTTTTAAAATATATTTTCAAAAAACATATATCTTTTGCCAGATAAATTTATATTGTGAATTCAAGGAAAAAAGGGATTCAAAGACAAAATTCAAGGGCAGATTACAAAGACAAATACCACATGATCTCACTTATATGTGGAATCAAAAAGAAAAGTGTGGATTGCAAATTTCAGCTTATGTTTTATAATGGTGAAAATTTTTCAGTTTCAGTGTCCAACTAGCTTACTCAGTAATAAAGTTTTCAAATTTTTAAATGAAAATCTCATAGAAAACATTCCTTAATTTTAGTCCTCAAATACAATCATTCAAAACTACCAAGGTAAAGGAAAGTATTATTTTGCAACACCCTAAAAAACATTTATAGGAATAGTCCCAACTGAGTAATCCCACATTCTGTATGGGCAGTCTTAGGACTCTATAGCAGCATAGCGCCAGGAATGGACTCGGGTAGAAGAGATTCAACAAAGGGCAGAGATGAGGGACGAGCCCTCAGCTGCCCTCTTGAAACTCCACCCTTTTATTTTCATAGCATGTGTCCACAAAAAGTTTCAGGCTTATATTCCATCTCCATTTAAATGCTCTATTTCCGTGAAGTAGGGCTGTAAGTTTGACATCACTCTTATGAAGAGCAGCACAGTGTCAGATACAGAGATTTCTACAGTCCTAAATTTAGTCAGTGGAAGCTGGCAAAGAAGCTTGAGAGTTCTCTTTCCCATAACTTTCTGCCTATTAAATTAACTGAATTTAATAATTCAATATATATTCCAAATTATATGCTCTTGCAGAGGCAACAGGAATGTATGGAGAGTTTTTATACTTATTCTCCAAGATCTGAACATATATTGCTTAAAAAAACTCCTGTAAAATTGTCATTTTTCCTGGACTGCTGTCTCCAAAGAGTAGGACACACAAAATTGTTTTTCCACCTCTTAATAGAAACCTCGTGTCTCAAGAATTTAAAATTTTTCCTCACGCTTTGAATAACTTGAGATACTAACTCAAATCCTCTTTTACAAATACCTCACATTACATCTTTAGATATGGAACATATTTTAGTCTTCCTATAAATACGTTTTAATTCCCAATTATTGCGTCGCCTTTCAGGTAATATTAACTGATAGACATCTTTTTACTCCTATTTGAAGTCTGATCTTAGTCTTTTTGAGTTTTTAATTTCATTGTATCTGCTTCTTGCCCAAAATTCTCTTAGAACCTCTGGCCACCTCCTCTGAATGTTTACCTTTCTGTTCATGCTTGGACACAGCTGCGGTCTCTTTTCCCTCCTTCTCCTTGGGCTTAGGTGATGGTCTCTGTACATCTTTGACTTTTGCGGCTGTTTGCTTCACTTTCTCTTGTTTCCCACCTTTCACTTCCTTTTTAATCTTCTCTTCGGTCTTTGTTTTCCTCTCTTCTGTACAGAGTTAAAGACAAATTGGATTATTTTTGTTTGTTTACCAATCATCTTTTATTGATTGTTAAGAACAATTTAGAAAGAGAGAGACAAGAAAAACAATAGAAAAATAGTGTCCCTGGTTTGCTCAGTCGGTTGAACATCTGACTTTGGCTCAGGTCATGATCTTGAGGTTCGTGAGTTCAAGTCCCACATCGGGCTCGCTGTTGTCAGCAAAAAGTCCGTTTCAGAGCCTCTGTCCTTCTTTCCTTGCCCCTTCCCTGCTTGTGCTCTCTCAAAAATAAATAAGATAAAATAACATAAAATGTTAAAAAAAAAGAAAAAATAGCATTCCTCACATACGTACTTGTGACTACTATCTAAGTTTTATATCGTCTATGAAGTGACATGTTAGAGTACTTAAAAAAGAAATGTAGCTCACTTGCAAGTTGGGCACATTCTTAATTTGTACATGAAAACATTATCTTTTAGGTAGCCACGAGCTTAGCATATCAACAAAGAGGCATTTGAAATACACAGAATTTGTACAGACAGGCATGTTCAGCAAAAGGCAATGCCCATACCAAAGAGCCAAGTATATATATATATACTATATACATATATATATATACATATATATATATATATATATATATATATAGTAACAAGGATATAATCAATTTGTTCCACAATTGAAATATGTTTAAAAAAATTTTTAATGAATGTTTATCTGTTTTTGAGAGCGTGTGAGAGAGACAGAACACAAGTTGGGAAGGAGTAGAGAGAGAGGAAAACACAGAATCTGAAGCAGGATCCAGGCTCTGAGCTGTTAGCACAGAGCCCAACGCAGGGCTTGAACTCATGGAGTGTGAGATCATGACTTGAGCTGAAGTCAGACGCTCAACCAACTGAGCCACCCAGGCACTCCAATCCATAACTCAAATATCTTAGAAGTCATTCAAAAAGGGCACTTGGGTGACTCAAACTTCTGACTTCCGCTCAGGTCATGATCTCATGGTTTGTGAGTTCCAGCCCCCCCTTGGGCTCTGCACCGACATTGTAGAGCTTGTCTGGATTCTCTCTCTCTCTCTCTCTCTCTCTCTCTCTTGCTATTTGCCCCTCCCCCACTTGTGTGCTCACACATGCATGCTCTCTTTCTCTCTCTCTCTCAAAATAAATAAACAAACTTTAAAAAAGCCATTCAAGAAACTGAACATAATATATGTTTTTAAATAACTATTAAGAGTACAAATGTGAAATTGCTGTAGTGGTAGAGACTAATAGAAATGAAACAATAAAATCCATTAAAGGATAACTCAGGGACATTCAGTCTATAATGACTTGACTTTAAAGAGATGGAAAAAGAGCAGAAATTGAGATACTAGCTCCTGCTTATCTTAAATCAGAAATGCTAATTTTAATGACTTTTAAAACCCTTAAATATATCCTAGTGAACAGAAAGGGCTATAACTTAGAAACTATTATGTGAATTATAACATATATGCATATATATCCTATACACATATATACTTATTTTGATATTCTATGCATTTGGGGGGAAGGAACTGGGAATATGAACTGATCAGTTTGTGAATCTTTCAATTACTTTATAAAAGACAACAATAATATAGCACACACTAGTGGGAAATTGTTTATAAAGATGCTACATATTGGACATTACTTATTCAAGGGGCCACACGTAATCACTGGACCCCATAGTAAGACTACTGCAATGTGGACTCTCTTGTGTCATTTGTCAATGTAATAGATAGGCTTTATTGTCACTCATGTTGAAAATTTTGATGAAAATATTATAATCAAGTTTCCTGGCTTTAGTACCCTAAGCAATAATTTGAGACTAATGCAAGATAATACTGTGAGGTCCCATGAGAAGAAGAATGAAAATGATAATGCCTGATGCTTGCAAAACCAAAATCATCTGTGGTACTGCATTTAATTGAACGGGCCAAACTTCCCAAAGCACTGTTCCTCACAAACTTTGCAGGAAGATGATGCTACGTGTTAGAAGTACAGGGATATCCCTATGATCCAGTAAATATGGAAACACTAAACTAAACCATTTTTTTAAAGTTTTTATTTATTTATTTTGAGAGAGAAAGAGCACACAGGGGAGGGGCAGAGAGAGAGGGAGAGAGAGAATCCTAAGCAGGCTCCTCATATCAGTGTATAGCCCAACGTGGGTCCAGAGCCCAGGAATCAGGAGATCATGACCTGAGCTGAAATCAAGAGTCAGATGCTTAACCAACTCAGATACCCAGGAACCCCAAAAGAGTTTTTTTTTAACTATGATATTTCTCAAAGCTAAAGTATATTGAGAATCTTCAAAGAGGGGGATTATTATGTGCATTGTTTTCCAAAGTTACTTAGTCATAAAACTCTTACACAAAAATGACCCTATTACTCCACAAATTTCCAATGTCTTTGTGGCTTCTATCTATATTTGTAACTATACTCAGTTGAGGATTTTCTTCTACTTCCTTTAAACCATTTTTAAATCTCTTTTGCTGGTTACTGCTCTTTCTTACAGCAGATTAATAGATTTCCGTGTCTGAAACCATCAGCTCTCTGCAAATACTGTAAATCAGCATAATTCCAGAACCTCACACCAAATATTTGTTAGTTTCTAACTGCAGAGAAAGTTCCCCTGAGATGCCAACACCACCACAGGCTCATACAATTTACCTTTGCTCACCTAAGGAACCCTTCCAGAGAGTTTACCATGGCATGGGCTCAGAGTGAGCTGCTGGCGCTCTAAGGATTAACAGGATAATATTCCTATCTGTAAACAAAGCTTAGTATAACATTTAAAACCCTGCTAGATCTGGGGGCGTCTGGGTGGCTCATTCAATTAAGCATCTGGTTTTGGCTCCGATCATGATCCTGCGGTTCATGGTTCCGAGCCCCACATCGGACTCTGTGCTGACAGCTCCGACCTTGGAGCCTGCCTCGGATTCTACGTCTCCCTCTCTCTCTGCCCAGCTCCTGCTTACGCTCTGTCTTTCAAAAATGAATAAATGTTTAAAAAAAAAAAATCCCACAAGATCTGGCCCTGTCCTATCTCTCCTCTCATAGCACCCTTCCAAAAGTTTCTTCCTCCACTAGACTACTTTTTTTTTCTTGAATATCTCATTGTGTTTTCTATATGAGTAATGCTTCCAGGCTTCATTCTTTATGTTTTCTTTGTTTTCCACATATACACATTCCTTTGCACACAATACATAGGCAACAAAGGGCAATGCCATTGGAATTAATCATTCCTTCTCCTGAGTTTTGACTTGCCTCAACTTTTGCTAAAACACACCTGTTTTTCCTTACTATATACCTTGTATTACAAATGAGTATTCACACATCTCTCTTCCCTACCAGACAGAGCAACTTGAGGATAAGGACTATATTATTCATTTTTGTAGCATTGTAATGTCTAGCACAGTGCTTTTTTCAGAGAAAACACAAACGTTTACTGAATTAGTAATTTTGATCAAGAAAACAAGTATGCATTTTACTATATTCAGATCAAGTGTACATATAGTGATAAACAGATTGTATATGTAAATGTGTGTTTAAAATGAACTTGACAAAACTTGAAAAATTTGCCAAGTGGTTTTTTTGTTTATACTTTTTGTGTGTGAAACTGTTATTTTCCTTGTGTTAAATGACACCTACCCACTTGTAGGTAGCACCTGATTTAATCTTAACATCATACTATGGAATTAGCAATATATGAAATTCAGATCTACCTTTAATGTCATTATAATTTATAAATGAGCAAAGATAATTTTCTTCAAGTCACGACCACCTCTAAAACAAACTTATTTTCATCAAATGATTTTAAGTATAAAATTTTGTTATTATCCTTACTTATTTTAGATATTTGTCAGTGATCTTCATATTGGAAACAAGTAAATTTGCCTGGCATTAAAATGGGTAAGAACTCAAAAATGATGTGGATATAATGGGGAAACTACCATGAAACCCTGTTGTTTGCTTTTTATTTCTCAAAAAGAACTTAAGAGCTCTTAGGAGCACTTAGGAGCTCACTAAGGAATGGAAAAACAAAAAAGTATTGTCATGGTATATTCAAATAACCCAGTCTTATTTTGGTTAATGTTTATTTATTTATTTTGAGAGAGAGAGAGAGAGAGAGAGAGAGAGAGAGGAGAGAGCAGGGGAGGAGCAGACAGAGAGGGAGAGAATCCCAGGCAGGCTTAGCTCCCTCAGCACAGAACCCAACAGCAGGGCTCAATATCACAAACCGTGAAATTATGACCTGAGTCGAAATCAAGAGTCAGACGCTTAACTGACTGAGCCACCCAGGAGCCCTTCACATCACCTAGTTCTATGTAGGAAGAAATTTAATTCATGATTTTTGTCAAATAAAAAATTAAATGGTCTAATCAAATGAAAGACATTAGCATATTTGATTCATTTTGGAATTAGCATTACCCATTAGTGACTGTACTCGAATCAAAATGTCTTATGCCAAAGTAGGAAAACCACATTATCCAGTAAACATATTGACATACTATTCATTTTTGGAGTTAAATAACAAATTTCAACTCTCATTCATTAAGGAACTGCTAACTGCTTAACTTCTCTGTTACTCAAGTTTCTCCCATTAAAAAAAAAAATAATAACACTGTAGCTATTTCTTCCTTTAAGGAAGCTGTGGAGATAAGTAAAACACATGAGCAAAAGAATTTGGAAACTGCAAAATAAGTACATAGGCATTTCTAATATTAAATCCTTATACCCTGCATTCCTAGAGCTCTTTGGAGTTTTCCTAGAACTTAGATTTTGATGTATAACAGGAATTACTATATTATACTCCCTTTACAGATGAGAAATGTAGGAATGAAGAAGCCATTTGTCAAACATGGTGCAACCAATGAGGCAAGAGTAGAAGTAGTAGAACCAAAACGCCTAACCCATTTCCCCACTATAATCAATTGCATAATGTTATTCATATTAATCCATGAGGATGATACAAAAAACATATTGTAAGACATATGAGGGGAGACATAAATATACACAAACCAGTGAAAACAATGGACAGTCTTCAGAAAGTGATCAAAATAGTAACCTCCCCTACTTCACCAAATACACATATGTCTAAAGATGGCTATTTACAGGCCAGTGTGACAGCCTGCCCTGAACTTGGCTTACCCCACTCACTTCTCTTGCCATCATTTTATTCTACTTCTTCCCAGTCTTTGTTATTTTTAATGAACTGTAGGAATAGGCTACTTTTCACAATAGATATGAGGTTCTACACATGTACCAGGGTAGATGGAAAGGCCTATTTTTCCCCAAGAGGATGTCCTGACATGGTTCAGCAAATTGCAGCTCTTTGACAGGCTGGACTTGAAACAGAGCAAGAAACATGCTATGTTCCATGGCAGTGCCTTTGGAAATCAAAGTCTTCTGATGGAGAGTTTTATTTTAACTCTGGTCATACCTTTCAAATAGAATAGGTTATCTTTGTTTCTAACTTAATTATCACATGCTATAATGTATGCCTTTTTAATCTTACTCTGTTTTCTCCCAAATTATACAAAGAGCATTTCTTATGTATTTACTATATTCCTAACATAATGTATAAATACATACATAAAATAAAAAGGGAAATTATATTTATGTGTGTGTGTGTGTGTATGCACACCCACAATTTATACATATATAGGTTGATTACATCTATCTCCTCCATAAGAATATAAGTATGTAAGCAAAATATTTGTGATATGTGGCAGCCCAGGGTGACTCAGGATGGCCCCCAGTGATCTCCACTTTCTGATATTTATATGCTTGTGTAATCCTTTCCCCTTGAATATGGACTAGCCTGCACATTTGCTGCTAACCAATAGCATGTACTTCCATGACTGTCTACATAAGATTATTTCTGTCTTACTAGCTGGTTCTATCTCTTGCTAAATTTGACAAGGGCAGCTGTCATATTAGTGGTACTCGTTTGAAAAGGAATTGAGAATGGTTTCCAGCCAACAAAGAAAGATTTGGGGCCCTGACTCAACAGGCCATGAAGGGCTGAATCTTGTCAACAATCATGTAAATGAATTTGAAAATTTGAATCCTTCCCCAGTTGAGCCTTCAGATGGGACTGCAGCTTTGTCTAACAAATTAATCACAGTCTTGTGAGAGACTGTGAAGCAGAGAACTGAGCTAAGCCATGCCCAGATTTTTGAGACACAAAAGCTGAGATAATAAATGTGTGTTGACTTAAGTTTCTAAATTTGTGGTAATTTTTTCACACCAATAAATAATTAGTACAGGATTAAATAGATATTTGTTGAAGGAATAATTGATGCTTGAAAACCTTTAATTATCTTTGGAAAAAATACTAGATTTATACTCAGTTCACCTGGGATTTTGCCTTAGTTCAATTACATACTAGTTATGCGAATTGGCCAAATTGTTTTTTCCTCCCTGGAGGTCAGTTTGTTCATCTGTTAAGTTAGGTAATTAAGTGAGACGAGATCTAACATCCCTGCCAGCTTCAAGATTTCATATACATTTGAGTTTATTTTCATTCAAATCTGTCAAACAGAAGAGAACCAAATAGAATAAAATAATACATATTTAGTTACAAATTTCATCCTGAGACTAAATTCATGCTACCTTCTAGAAAACGAAGTCTTGGTTTATAATCCATCTATCTTTAATACACTGATATTTGGTTATCTCATGAAAAATATTTAGTAAAAAATATGTCTGCCTCAAATATTTAAATATTTTGCATTGTGTAGATAAACACCTTGAATTTTGAAAGTAGATTCCAATGTTTATCTAAGTGATTAGTCCCTTGAAAATACTGAATTGAGATTTCTAAAAATTATTGTTCACAAAATGCGTGCATTTTACAAAAAGAAAAAGGAATTTAAATTTAGGAGATAAGATTGAACTATCACTTAGAATCCATATTTGTTTAACATCAAACAATTGGCAAATAAATTTAGCATACTATATTTATAATTTAATATTTATGTAATCCTCCAAAATACATAACATTACATTGATATTCTAATTGATTTGGGGGGAGTATATTATTAAGATACTTTTGATCTTCGATGGCTTAAAATATCAATCAAGATATATGCATTACCTTTCTTCTTGAAAAAAACAAATCCTGAATTTGAAATTTCTAAAATTAATCCAAAGTGTACTGCTGGTCAAAAGCTATAAGCCAAATATATTGTGCCAGTTTCCCATCGCTATAGTAACACATAACCACAAACTTAGCTGCTTAACATAATATCCATTTAATATCTCCCAATTTCCAAAGTTCAAAAGTCTTGGCACAATGTGGCTCAAGTAGGTTTTCTGGTTAGGGTGCACAAGGCTAAAATCAAATTGCCAGCAGGGTTGCATTATTTACTGGAATTCAACATGTTGGCAAAATTCTTCTCCCACTGTTCACGTGCTCCCCCCAAGTTTCAAGCTAGCAATGGGTGGCAAGTCCTTCTCACACTTCAAATCAGTCTTTCTCTTCCGTCACATGTCTATGCTTTAAAGATTTGTGAGATTACATTTAGCCTACCTGGATAATCCAGGATAATCTCCCTATTTTAGAGAAAACTATTTCCAAAAGTCTCTTTGCCATGTAATGTAACATATCCATGAGGATGACCGCAAGTGGTAAAGTTCTTGGGGTTCCAAATTCTTCCTACCACATATGGGAATACTCTTCATCATTTTCTAACATTTCCAGATGCTCTATTATTTTAAGTATTTAGTTTTATTATTCTTTTTTATTATTCTTTATTATTCAATTTTACATGTAAGGCCAAATTAATTTTTATGTACAGGAAATGTTGAATGCATATAATCAGCCAGCTACCTGACACCCAAAATATAATCTTTTAAAGTTTATTTACTTATTTTGAGAGAGAGAGAACACAAGCAGGAGAGGGGTGGTTAAAGAGGGAAAGAGAGAAAGAGAGAATCCCAAGCAGGCTCTGCGCTGTCAGTACAGAGCTGGACATGGGGCTTAAACTCATGAACCATGAGATCATGACCTAGGCCAAAACCAAGAGTTGGACTCTTAACTGACTGAGCCACCCAGGTACCCCCACAAAGTGTAATCTTTTAAAGTAAAAAGAATGATTATATAAACTATAAAAGGAAAAGTTACCTTTTGCCACTGTCTTTGTTTCTGGTTTTTCTTTTTTCTCAATTTTTTCCTTGTGAGTTGCTTAAACAGAAAAAATTTATATTAGTACACACTTTAAATAGATTTCAAGACCAAGCTTTCTCTTTATCTCAGCTTTATAGCCACCAAATTATGTACGATTTTGAAGATTGATGATATTAATGAGACTGATTTAGAAATAAGAAAAAATTACCAATATAATAACAACTATATAAAATCCAATTTAAAAGTCTTGGCATAAAGATTTAGAAAGCATTTTGAAAGCTAACCTCACTCTCCTTTTTAAAGTTATTATTCTAAATAGATTAAGTTTTCAAGAAAGATAAACAGAGAGAGAGAGAGAGCAGTTTTATAATAATTTGTCAAAAGATATTATACTATCATGATGAAACACTTTCTTTATGATTAATTAAAATAAATATTTCAATCCAAATTAGAGCTTGGATTAAGAGCAGTGTTTCTCAACAAGGACGTAATTGACATTTGGGGAAAAATAATTTCTTACTATAAGGGACTGTCTTATGTGTTGAAAAATGCTTAGCATCTCTAGTCCCTGCTAACCAAATGTCCTCCACTCCAATGACATTTTGACAGCCAAAAAGTTTTTTTTTTTTTTTTTTTTACCCAAGTAAGCCCTAAGAAATAGCAACTTTGGTAGAGAATGACCAAAAAAAAATCATAAATTGTATAATCATAAATGATTACTGATCGAGTGCAGCTTCTTAAACGAATAGTATTTGACATACTTGAAACATTATACCTTCTCACTGTTTATGTAACAAATTAATAAATCAATATAAATTTATTTTCCTAGCTTCTATGAAGTAAAGGTGCTCTGAGACATACAGGAGCTTGTGCAGGTTAGTCATAATTCATTAATCTGTGTAATTTGGTAGTTTCCCAAATCACCACACAATTTACAGCATTTATGTATTATTTATTGGAGAATAATGGGAATTAAAGAAATTATAGAAAACTGAATGAAAAAAATAAGAGATTTAATTAAACAGGTGGGTTAAAGAACCAAATTATTCACATTAAAAATGAGAGTCCCAATTATTTCCATTTCTCCAACTATATAGTAAGAACATTAATGTCCATCAGCTTTACTTGTATTATAAAAGACAAAATGTGCTTCAATATGTATTTAACAAACTATTGTTTTAAAACACAGTTGATGAACAGTTTCCCCAGAATCTTGGAGAGATAAGGCAAATCTCACAGAAAGCTTCACTCACGATGCTCAGTTGAAGACCAAGTGACCCCTGCAGTTGCAAGTTCACTGAGAGAGAGCAGATGACACCCCTTCCAGGGTTTCAGCCTTTCTACCTCTCAGCCTGCCCCACAGCCATTCCCACTACCATTTGGAATTATGGGGAAGAGCCTGGACAGTGTTAGGTGAAGGAGCATGATGCCAAGCCAAGAAAGGCCCAATTCACATAAGGACATGGGGTTGCAGTGTAATGACTTACTTCATAAAAAGCAAACTCCTTTAATTGGTATATAATGAAGTAAAGGACACTTACAATAAAGTATTTTATTCTGCTTTCCAATATGAAAATTTCCTGTAATGTTTCTAATTTAAGAGTGACAAATTCTTGATTATTTTGTAATACAAATATTTAGCTGCTGTGAAAGTTGAAAAAAATCATATGAAATATCAGATTATTTCATTTAGTCAGAGTATAAAGAACCTAATGCCAATAATTCTGCATAACTTAACAGCAGAAGGGAAATAGACACCTGTTTCTAGAACAAAGAAGGTGGCTGTATTGAAATTAGTATATATCATCACTGAGTAAACACTAATAAACTAATAACTATTTAATTCAAAATTTTAAATATGAGTATAGAATAAAGAAGATTGAAACATGTTCCCATGGATCTGATTCCTAATATATTATAAAACATTCTATCTGACTGGAATGTTGCACAGGAAATAGCACAGCAGTCTATGCATATTGTGGACATATGAATCAGCTGAAATCTAGCACAAAGATCCTAGACATGATCCACTCTAACACAAGAGCAACAAAAAAATGAAATTGGAGATTTATTTCACATCATACATTGAAATGGATGAAATGGATTTTTTGATGATTTAAGGTTACATGTGAAATATGAAACTAAATTTAAAAACTTGAGGAAATATTAGCAACTGTTGAATTAATTTTTGAATGAAGATTCAAAAACAGAAACACCAAAAGAAAATAAAACATATCTAGCCATATAAAAAGTCAAGAATCTAAACACACACACACACACACACACACACACACACACGTATATACACATATATGCATTCACACATATCCACTCACACAGAAATCCTGAAATTAATTATGAAACCTGAGGAAAATATTGAAAAAGTGACAGACCAGGAAAATATACCCAAATGACATGCACACATATCATCAGGAGAAATGAGTAATAAGTGTGAATATTTACATAAGAAAAATGTATTATTAAAATCATTCTTAAATCCTTAAATCTACAAATAATAAGTAGCTAAAAGATATAGTAGAAGAAAATATCTCCATTTACTCATTTTTTAAATTATGTTTTTTAATGTTTATTTTTGAGAGAGACAGACAGAGCAAGCATGGGAGGGGCAGAGAGAGACAGAGACACAGAACCGGAAGCAGGCTCCAAGCTCTGAGCTGTCAGCACAGAGCATGACATGGGGCTCGAATCCACGAACCGTGAGATCATGACCTGAGATGAAATCGGACACTTAACTGACTCAGCCATCCAAGCACCCCAAGAAAGTACCTCCATTTCAATACCATGAAGCTTTTATTTTAAAATGAGGAAAATACCAGAGTGCTTGGGTGGCTCAGTCAGTTAAGCGTCCGACTTCAGCTTAGGTCATGATCTCTCAGTTTTGTGGGTTCAAGCCCTGCATCAGGCTCTGTGCTGACAGCTCAGAGCCTGGAGCCTGCTTCTGATTCTGTGTCTCCCTCTGTCTCTGCTCCTCTCTCCCCTCTCAAAAATAAATAAACATTAAAAAAAATGAGGAAAATACCTATTTACTGATATGGAAAGGTCTTTAAGATATATTATTAAATTATAAAAGCCAGAATATAGGACACATTATATTTTGTGTAAAAAGTGGAGAAACAGTAAGCTATATTCTCTTATAAATGCATATTGAAGTTTTGAAAGATGCACATAAAACCCATAAAAGGGGTTTGCTGTGTGTACGTGTGGGTAGGATAGAATGCTACTGGAGGGCTGAGAACCAGGCGGGAGGAAGCTTTTCATAATGTATCTTTACCTACTGAACAATGAGTCTATATTACAGATTCTAAACAAATACATAAAAATTAATTTTTTAAATTCCAGTCTTATAGGTAATTAAAGAATGCAAGTTAAAATAATGAGTATACTTTCTCACCTATCAAATCGAAAAAATATTTTGTGAAATAATATCTTCATTGTTAGCTAAAGCAGTCTCACAACTGCCAGGGGAAAAATGAATACATTTCTAGAAAGTAAATTGGTAACCAAGTTGGAGTCTCAAATATTTTATTTACTTCAGCCTATGAATTACTCTTTATAGATTCAATTCTAAGGAAATATCAAAATATAATTTTAAAAATAAAATCTTACGTAAAGAAGAAGAGGTCAAAGAGGGAGGAACCAGTGTGTAAGGACAGCAGTAAGAACAATTCCATACCTTTCTTTTCAGCTTTTTCTTTTTCTTTTGGTTTTTCTTTGTGTGTAACTGGAAAGAAATAGACAATATTTTTCACTTAAATAAAGAGAATAAATAATAAGATGTTTGCATGGCAATTTTTGATGTCAAAAACTTGTCTGCTGCTTTTGAAAATCTTTTTTAACTGAAACGAAGTTTTACATAGTTAGATGTTTAAATATTAAGATAATTATAAATTTTTTATTTCATACCCAAGCACAAACTTGTACCAAAACCAGGTGTGATTGCAAAAGTAAGAATACACCTCAGCTTTTTCAAATCCTTAACTTCATTTTAAGTAGAAAACTTTAAAAACTTATGCCATATGCCAGAGGATCCTAGCTCGATACGAGAGAAACACTAAAATATAAGGACAGAAATGCAGAGAGATAATTTTCTGAATCTGATGCAAAGTATAATCAAACTAAATTGCATATGTTACTCTTCTACAGAAACGTTCCCCACCCCAAATTTTTGAAAATATTCTGGTATGAGATTAGAATGACACCAAATCCCCTTACAGAAAACTACATTTAATTTACTCTGAGCTGAGATCCAATTAGTTAATACAGGAGAGCTCAAATTTAAGTAAAAAATTTCCCCATAATTTAGTGATAACTCTTATTAATGGCACGTCCAATTGTCAGTCTAGAAACGTGGGAGTCATCTAGGATTCATCTTTTATTTTCCACTTCTGTTCATTTGCCAAACTCTTTCAATCTACCTTTCAATATACCTCTTACCCAACTTTTTTTTTTTATCCAATATTGCATTCTCTACTTGTCCTTTATTTACACAAAAATATAGAAGCACATGCTATGTGCTAAAGACTGGCAAGATAGACTCTATCCCTGTCATTGTGATGTCAACAAGTGGATGAATAATGGAGGCTAAACAAATAACTGCAAAGGTAGTTAATTGCAGTTGGTATAAATGCAGAAAAAATTTAGGGTGGCATTCAGAGACCTACAGTAGCCTGTGTATTACAGGAGTATCCCTTAGTAGAAGTGACATTTAAGAATGTGAAGATGAGAAGAAATTAACCTAGTAAGGGAGTTGGGAAGAGAAAAGGAAAGAGACCATTTCAAAATTTGGAGCAGAATGCCCTTCTTGGTATATCAGTATTACAAATATTATTATAATAACATTAACTATTCTCTTGAACCTTTAGATTTAGATCTTTCTCTCTCAGAGTAACCTTTCTAACAGGAAATTCTGATTATACTTTTGACCTGTTACAAATATTAGTATCTCCCTCATGGCTTAACATGTTATCTATTACATAGTAGGTGTTATATGAAATATAAAAATGTCACTGCTCTAATGATTTGATATTTGCATGTCAATCCCATCCTATCTACTTGAATTTCCCCTTGAACTTTACATTCCACTCATATCAAAACAAGTGCAGCTGCAAGCATGCCCTCCCCTCTACCTGCCTGTGCCTTATACTCGAATCCCCACTCTCACACTTCCTCTTGTCAATGCACCTTTTCAGTCCTGACAGAGTTGTTCCTCCTTGTAAAGTGTTCTTTGATCTCTACTTATTTTATACACCAACTGAACCATGTGCATAATTCCATTTTAGCAATCAAATAATAATATTGCTAATGTCAGGACACCTAAGTGGCTCAGTCGGTTGAGCTTCTGACTCTTGATTTGCGCTCAAGTCATGATCTCACCGTTCATGAGATCAAGCCCCACATTGGGCTCTGAGCTGACAGCGTGGAGCCTGCTTGGGATTCTCTCTCTCTGTCTCTCTCTCTGTCTCTCTCTCTCTCTCTCTCTCTCCATCTCTCTCTTTCTCTCCCTCTTCCCCACTCACACTCTCTCCCTCTCTCTCAAAATAAATAAATAAATAAATAAATAAATAAATAAATAAATAAACAAACTTTAAAAAATGTTGCCATTGTCCATATATCTGACTTCCTAGTAAGTGAAATCTCTTTAAAGACTATAGCATGTTATTTTATTTTTGTACCCTTGGCTGATCACTTGTCTGCCCCATAGTGGAGTTTTAATAGACTTTTTTGGAGTAAGCCAAATTCTAAAACATTAGAAGAAAAACTGCTTTCATCTTCTAGTACAATTCTATTTATTAATGATATGGTATAGATATTATAAGCACTGCTTGTGTTTGGCCATTTAAAATGTTTCTAATTTATCAAAATTTCTTAAATAATTAAACTCCAGTGAAAAACAGAGGGGAAAAAATACACCTTAGAACATCTAGACATTATTTTTCCTTATATTTAATAGTCCTTTTAGGTGTTTCTGAGTTACTAAATTCAATATAAATATCTCACAAAAGAAAGAGAGGACATCAGCATTCACACATGACCACAAATAGCTTATATTGGTTCTTTTGGACCACTATTAATTAAGCTAAAAACTAAAAGAGAATCTTGGCAAAAACAAAGCCTCTTTTAAAAGTTCTCTAGAGGGAACCAAGTTTGCATGAGATAAGCAGTGCTTTTGGAACCTGATTGGCAAGATTCTCAAGAGAACACCTAATCTGTGTCTATGCTCCTGTGAAGGACCAGACCTCACCCACCTTGGACAGCTGGTTGTCCATTCCACTAAAGGATTTTCTGGCTGACGTGTGCACAGGCATAAATGGAAGAATTAATACAAAATCAAAAGAGCAAGGGGGCTGAATTCAGACTCAAATTAGCATAGTAATGCCTCGTTCCTGTTACCCTGGGGGAAAATCTGGTTCCTCACAGTCTAAGTTTTGATTTACAGACACAGTCCTGTATGCTGAAATTTCATTATCCCCCTCAGAAATGGTACCATAACATTGCTCAGTGAAACAGCTGGACCCCTGTGCTCTAGGGAGCTGTTCAAAATGGCAGACAGCCAGTAAAACTTCTTGGATGAAAACTTCAAACTTTGGCAAGACTGAGCTCAAATACCAAGTTTAAAGTTTCTTTTATCAAAACAATGCAACCATCAGTAACTGACTTAATGATCACTCTAAGATTAAAAAAATAATTTTCTACAAAAAACTGTTTACTTGTGTACCTCTTTGCTTAGACACTACAAACTGACAGTTTTCAACTGGAAGAAAAAAGTACCTTCCTTTCACCAGCTCTGTTTGGCAAGTTACATCTTAGCCAGGACAGTTTTAGCTCAGGACAAAATAAGCTTCTTGCACCTGCTGGAGCTTAATTTGCTTGTCATCCTTATTTACAAGAAACAAAAGTCTCTTCGGTATACTGATAATTAAAAACAAATGGAATCCACCGGTTGGAATGGCCCTGATGTTTGGCATCAGAGCTGGCATGGCCCTGCTGTTCCTGCACTTGCCCAGACTGTGACCTTTCCCTGACCAGAACATTCAGCTCAACTTAACTCTGCAGCAGCCTCTTGCCCACCCCATGTGGTCCCTCTCCAGCATTCTGCAAGCTGTGCTCTGTGCTTTTACAGAGTGTGGTCCTGGCAACCTGCCGGACAAGCCCTGTGTCCTTTTCTGAATGTACCAGAGCTCATAGTGCACCTGACTCTGAGATTCTTATCAGGCAAACCCTCCCTAGGGACCAAATCTGTAAGGATTCAGTGCCAGACTGCCCGAGTCCTTTTGCTGATCTCTCTGTTCTCAGTTGGAAAAAATCAAAAGTTTGGTGCAAAATTTTTTTTCAGTACTGATGTGCCTAGGCTTTAGTCAACACTAAACAGTGTCAGATATACTCTTGGTTAGTATGTATGTCTCTGTATGTATGTATTTATCTATTTATTTTGTAACTAATCTGTAGAATTTCCATTCTGTGTTAAGGCAAGATGATCTACACATTCTAAGTGGTAATGATGGACTCAATAGAAAAGCACTCCTGAGTAGAGAAACTTGTCAAAGATTATATTACTCATTTTTCCTAAAGGACAAATTTATCATTTTTTATTTAAAATAAGCACACAATTTTAGAGCTGATAGGAGCAGTTAGCCTGAACTTCTTTGCCCCTGTAAGAAAACACTGCCTCAAAAGAGGCTATGGCAGAGGAGAATAAGAATACAGTGTGATCAAATTGCCAAACTAGTACTCTTCCCCCAACTATGCTACCTTGTCCATGCAGGTCCTGTGCAGACTCGAAACTTGTTCTTATGAGCCAAAGTGTGCTGGTTGGACTCTCCGAGCTTGTTACCTACAATCAATCCTGCAATAATATACATGCTTCTTTTTCATAATAAAATTACATTTATTTATGCATTAAAGTGCAGATTAGGCAAATTGCCCCAAATTACAATATCATCTGATAAATGCTCTAAATCACAAAGTATATATTTAAATTCCAAAATATTGGTTTTACTGTGAATTCTGATTTAATTGTATGGGTAATTTCCCCTTCACCTGGGACTCCAGAACTGTAATCACTTCCTCAAAAGTGAGCAATCACTGTGGAGGAGGTGATGCATAGATATTTGTAGATATCTCATTTCCAGGTTTATCTTTCACAGCTGTCAGAGAGAAAAAAGAAAATATATTTTGTACTTTAAAGAGTCAATTAAGTATGACTGAGAGAAGGCAAAAATAAAAGTTTATACAATATAGGCTGACTAAATTAGTCTGTGGTCTTTGAGAGCATTTTTATAAAGGGCTCCAGGATATTTAGATACATTTTAATGTCATGTCCTCTTTGGCTTTTGAGCCTCATCTTCAGCAAAATCCTTTGCCAGGCTCTGGTTCCAGTCCTATAATTATTTCCCAGAAACAACACTAAGCCAGTCAATCAGGATTATTATTCTAAATTACCCTTTCAAAAAAATGTTCTTCTGACCGCATGTGATACTGACCGCATTGGTTTGCATAGTCTCAAAAGATGTATTGGAGTCCTAATCCGGTACCTGAGAATGTGACCTTATAGTTGGAAATAGAGTCTTTACAGAGGTAATCAAGTTAAAATGAAGTCATTACGGTGGTCTTTAATTCAATATTATGGGTGTCCTTATGAAAAGGGAAAATTTGGACACAGAGACAGATATGCACAGAAGGAAAAAGCAGAGATGTAGGGAGAACACCACTTGAAGATGAAGG